ATTTTATGCATGTAAGCAAAGATTTGACGTACTATATATTGGTTTTGTTTTTTGAAGCTAGATGGCCGACCGAGAAACATGGATGAGGAGGAGTTGATGATGAATTTGATCAACACTGGCACTCAAGTTGCTTGGCGATGATGGTGCTAAAAATAACGTGCAAGAGGATGCGATGACGGAGTCGATGATTAGCTCTTGAACAAAATGAGCAACAACATATTGGCCAAGTATATATTTTTTATTATTAGCTATATATATTATCATATGTCTTATGTGTGCTCATGACATTAAAAATAATGTTTATGTTTTGTAGCCCTCTGGATCGACATCAACAACTACAACGAAGAGTAAAAATATTCGAGGTCCCAAAAAGCCATTGGAGGGCCGCTTCATCATCTCGGAGTTCAATGTGGATACAGGAGAACCGGGGGGGCTGAATAAAATGAAATTTGTGCACCACTGTGGTTACCTTGTACGGGATTAGCTCCCGATTAGTACCCATGAATGGAAGAAGAAGGCCAATGCTCCTCATATCAGTTTTGTCTCCGATTGTGACAAGACGTTAATTTGGAAAGATGTCTTGGTACATTTCACGCTCCAAACAGATGGTTATGATGATATAATTGATGGTGATGAATTGAAGGAGCGAGTTAGGGATTGGGCAATGAAGAAGATGGCCACCTAGTTTCAGACTTGGAAGAAACACCTATACACGACGTATGTCAAGAAGAACATAGAACTAGATTTTACTGTCCCAGGCCCGATCTCAAAGCAGAGGCCCTATTGGGATGAGTTTGTACAGTACAAGACTTCAGAAGAGGGTGTGAGTCGGGTGATAAAGAACCAACGTAGTGCCCAACAGAAGACATACCACCATAACTTGGGATCAGGTGGCTACCCGACTGCCATTAAGAAGTTGAATAAAATGGAAGCAGACCTTCTTGCCAAGGGTATCAGACCAGAATCACTCGAGTGGGGAGAACGTGCAAAGAATTGGTTTTTCGCTCATGGGGGAACACTAGACCAGGAGACAGGGAAGTGCATTTATGGCGCAAGACTGCAAGAAGCAGTAGAAAGATTGTTTTATGCTCAGAGAGCTACTGCTAGTGGTGCGATCAGGCCCAATAGAGAGAAGGATGAGCTGACATACGCCATCGGGACTATTGAACATGGTGGCCGAACTAGAGGCAAAGGAAGTGTCTTGTGGGAGCATGGATTCCCTCAGGACAGACCTTCCTACAGAAGCCGCCAGAGAAAGAAGGAAGAAGAGGCACAGCGGCTCCAGAGGTTGGAGGAAGCGGTGCGTGAAGCACAGGAGCGGGAAAAAAACCTTGAAGCGAGAATGCAGGAGGAAATCAAAAGGCAAGTGCAAATAGCAGTGAGTGCAAGCAAGCAGGCATCAGAGCCAGGAATCAACATTAGCCAATCTGTTCAGTTGAAAAGCTGTTGCGCTTCCATGGAGATACCAAATCAAGGGGACACAGGAATGCGCTTCCCTGTGGATGACGTCACTGAACCTTGTACAACGTGTGAGCTACACATTCCGAAGGGGAATTCCACAATCAAGGTGGCTATCGGTCTTGTTAATCCTATCGACCGAACCAAGACACCAAGGATTCATGGGAATATAATCCAAGAAGGATATGCTACCATCTCGGTAGATAAAGCTGAAAAAGGTTTTAGTGATTTGCCTCTTGACATTCCTAGAGGTGATGGCGAGAAGACTCTAGGAGAAGCGGAGAAGACATTCATTCTATGGCGCAAGCGCTACATTATCATTCTAGGGATGTCGGCTCCACCTCCTCCTGAACTACCTCACCATAGGTACATGCGGATGAAAACACTATATCATTAATTTGTATTGGCTTAAATAATTAACAATCTGCTCATAATAATATGTCATTCCTTTTTTTGTAGCAGATCCTCCCCCAACCTAAATCCAATTGTTCAATCGCCAGATCATCATAGTGCTCTATACGATGACATTGTGTTGGAAGGCGAGGCTGCATCCACACCATCTCCAAGGAGGTCTCCAACGCCGTAGCCGCCACCTCCAAGGAGGTCTCCAACACCGCTGCCAACACCTCCAAGGAGGTCTCCAACGCCTCCCCCGCCCCCGCCTACCAAGAAGCCTAGCAAGAGGCCAGCCCCTCGAACGAAGAACCAGTCCTTGCCTGCAAAGAAAGTCACCGTGAAACCAAGGGCTATTCCCAAAATAATATCTGAAGAGAAGGAAGAAGGAACTGATGCATATAAAAAAGATATGTCTAGATTCTATGACAAACTTAAAAAGAATCAAGAAGCAAGGAGAAACCCAGAGAAACCGTACTTCTTCGTAGCTCTAGATATTCTAAGAAAAAGGGTGGCTTCTTACCAGCAACAACAGCGGGAATCTCGTAAGCCGTCCAAATCAACGTTATCGGACTATGACCGCACTCTCACCAAGTCAATTGAGGCGGCACAGAAAAAGAAGCGGGCAGGGAAAGGAGTTGCCCAACTCGGATAACAAGCGCACCAATCAGTCCCCCCGCTAGTTGTTGGTAATGAATATGGTTTGAATTTAGGATTAATGCATCAGGCAAACATACCTCCGGATGTTGATTTGGATCACCTTGGTGAATTTATTGATGAGACTGGTCTCGACCTTTACCAGATGTTTGGTGATGGAAACATTGAGAGTGCGGCGGAGGTTGATATTTGGAAGAAAAAATTTGTACTAGGCCAGAGTCTATCCAACCCTCAAGCCTTATCTGATCTGGGGACGCAAATGTACCTGCTAAACAAGTGGTACATGCAGGCGTCTACCGGTGGAGACTTCTGCGTTGGTGTCAGAATTAGAGACGAACATTAGTTCCGTGGCGATGATGTTATGTATGTTGACTTTGCAGAATTTCATCAACTATGCCACCTGACCTCTCTAGACAAAGTTATCATTAGCTGCTATTGCCTGTAAGTAATAATTCTTTCGATCTATTATTAAACTCATCATATATGTGTATATGCATATAAATTATCTTAACAAGTACTATATATATGTCACAATGACAGAGCTCAGAAAGGAAGGCTGCAATGAAATTGGTTTTGTTGATCCCCATATAATATTCAAAGACCCAATTACTCCAAAGACTAATTAGAAGTCTGAGTCAGAGAGTAACCTCATGAACTTCTTAGTGAACCAACGCCACAAGAAGGATATACTCTTTCCCTATAACTTCAAGTGAGTGTTAATAATATCGATCATCCTTAATGGCTCATATGTTGATTCTAGTTAATTAATGAGTGTTATGCGTTATATCCTATAGACACATGCAGCAATCACTGGATATTGATGGACATTGATCTGGTGAAAAGTCACTTGATAATCTATGACTCGATGAGAAAACCACAACAAGACTACCAAGATATGATAGATATTATCTAGAGGTAATTTTAGGATCTCTAGAAACTATATATACACACAAACATGATGATTAACTATATCTGATGACGTGGCAAATTTTTTATTGGGCAGTGTTTAGAAAACCTTTATTGAGAAGCAACACATGGAAAAATGCAAAGCGCCACTGAATGTAATCCCTTTGAAAGTAAGTCCCCTGAATCGCATCATCTTTATTAATTAAACATATAGCTTTCACCGGATCACCAGATTGGATGATAAATCTTTTTCTCGTAAAGTGGTGTCTGAGGCAAGAACAGGGGAACAACTACTGTGGTTACTATGTTTGCAAGTTTATCAAGGTGGTCTCCCAAAGAACTCCTACAGAGAGACTCAAAGTACGTTAAAAATACACTATATATTTATTTAATTATTATTATTGATTGTGTTACTATGTCTTTATATATATATATGTACATATATTAATTTATTTTCCTTTAATTCAAACCTGTAGACTCGATGGTTGGAGGAAAAGGTCATACGGCAAGACCAAATCAAAGCAATTCAAGAGTCTATAGCCGGATTTTTTAATGAGCAGGTCATCGATTCCAAGGGCGAGTTCTACTTCGACCCAACACTGCCATGGAAGCCAAGCTAGAGGATGAGAGAAAACTTGTTATATCACAACAACTGTAATGCAATCTTTTTGTAATATATGCACATGAAATAATATAATGTAAAATACACATATGCATGCATGCATGTAAATATATATATGATCCATGCATGCATATATATATATATATTTTTTTCTATGCTTGAATTGTGTGATTTAATACGTTCATTGTGCTTGAACCGAAACATACTATACGCGCGTATAAATATATAATTAGCAGCGTACAATACGACTTCGAAAACAAAAAAATGAAAAGAAAAGAAAAAAAAACCGTTAGTCCCGGTTCGTATTACCAACCGGGACTAAAGGTGCCGGCCATCGTGGCATGTCAGGAGGCATCTTTAGTCTCGGTTGGTGTTACCCATCGGGACTAAAGGTCCTCCTTTAGTCCCGGTTCCTGACTCGGAACTAAAGGACCCCCCTTTAGTCCCGGATGCTTGCTCCCGGGTGGGGAACCGGGACTAGAGGGGGTTCCCCACCGGGAGTAAAGCTCGGTTCTCTACCAGTGATATGCCCATCTCACATCACTGTCAAGGTTCACAAGTTTGAATAATCTTCATGTGGGCTGTTTTGCTGTTTCGTTTGAGTAATTTCTAAACTTTTGGTGCAATATTTTTGCCATCTCTGATGAAGGAACATAGGAGCTGCAGCTATAGAAAGCTATAGGTTTGTTAAATTCATTCTGCTTTCCTCATATATTGTTGACCTTTTTGGAACCACATTTCTCCTTCAGAACTCAAAATATAATGTACTCTCTCAGTTCTATCAGTTATTTTTCTGCTTAAAGTATTGCTATGTGTCAATTAGGATGGCCAGCTTCATAGTAAAACTATGTATCTACGCATCTAGATATATGCTATATCTGAAACAGAGGAGTAGCACTCTTCTTTTTATTGTCCAACTGCCACAGTTTAGCTCATCAATCATCATTGCATTCACTTTTTCCAGGAAGCATCAGGGCTTGCAAGAAAGCTGCACTGGAGTGTGATGAAGCGAAATTTGAACAATACAAGGTGGCTGCTGGCAATCGTATCACGACAGAGATCATCCAGTCCGTAGAGAGCTGCTTTGAGAAGATTAGAGGACTAGAGAGCTAGCAAAAAGAAAAATATATCTCCCCTCCTGTTTTTGTTTGGTTCTCTCTGTCCCTAAATGAAATGAAATGATGAAATGCACATTCAGCCATCTAGCACATTCAGCCATCTCTGTCCCTAAATGAAACGAAATTTGATTTTTTTTACGAAAAAATACACTATATGGGCGATTGGTACTGTAGCCGTCCCTACCAGCCGCCTCTACAAATCAGCGATTTATAGCCACCCCTTTGTAGGGGCGGCTGATAAAACCGCCCCTACAAAGGGTTACGAGCCGCCCCTAAAAAACGATTCTGTAGCAGTGCCATGTGGCCATCGTGTTATTGTGGCGGCTACCCACCGTACCTGCCGCCGCCGACCATGCCGTACCCGATGATGGTCTGCGATGACAGCCCGCCCTATGGCGCTTGCACCGTAATGTAATGTTACTGCGTGCCACTCCTGCTACTGGTTCCAGACTTAACAAAACAGATCATACTCTAGGTAATAGAGTATATGTATACGTATGTGGTATGTACTCATGCCTAGCTACTTATGGAAGTGGCTTTCTATTACCTAAAAAATGCTTGAGCATTTCATTATCAGTGAGTAGCTACCTGTGTACCAAAACTCACGGCAGTTCATCAAATATATGATATTTTACAGAATATTATCTTTCTAGGAATGCATTTCTGAGATGCAATAATTTTCATCTATGCCGATGTATGTGTCAAATACATGTGTCGGATCATTATTGTACGTGTCAACGCTATGGCTGCAAAATATCTATCTTTAGTTTCTATTACTAACGGGTTTTGCTATACTCCCAAATAACTGTGGAACGTTGATCTGGATAGCTATTGTCATATATTTCCACCTAGGAAGTAATATATATTGAGAAATAGGAAAAAAGTAGCAACATATTAGGAAAAATATCTATGGGTCTATGCAGATGGTTCAAAAATGTTTCTACAAGGCAATGAGAGTGCCATAGCAAGACCCACTAGCTCCTGTTAAAATTAATACAGGCTCCTCTAACATTGCATAAATTAATGCTCTACAAGACACACTAAAACTATAAACTTAATGTGTATACACACCTAAAAACTCTGACCATCAATTTGGTAAACTTTGTTCATCACTGTAGACAATAGTCATTAGACTATTTATTTCCCAACAGATTGGACCTAATATGTCTATATATAAACTTTACACATTTATCATTATGAGAAAATTAATTCAAGTACCCTCAGCACACATGCTTCTAAATTCTATCATCAGCGCTATGAAAAACGAAAGTTTCAAATTTACTATGACTTTCGATCTAAAACCATGTCGGATAGCCGCCTAAATAGGTTTGTATTTAATTTATCCCAAAAATAATTCTGTTTGTCCAATCTATCCCTTAAGATTTGTACTTTTTGTTTCTGCACATTCAACTTGAATTTAGGTTCAAATTTGTGGGGTGCTACTTGACATTATAAATTATATTAGAAAAATAAATTATAATTTTTCCTAATTATTTTTATAAATCTCTTGTATCTATATGTTAATTTACTATTAGGTGCCAAACCTATAAAAATAATGATGAAAATTTTATTATCATGTAACATATTTCCCACAAAATTTAAACTTTAAAACTAATGGAGAAAAATACAAATCTTATTAAGGGATAGATTGAACCAACCGAACTTCTATACGGGTAAATTGAACACAAAATTATTATCTAGATAGCATTTTGGAGCAAAGGGAGTAAGTGAGGCTTTTCCTTTTGAAGAAAAACTGACACAAGTACCTCGATGTCTAATTATATATACTCTACCTTTGGCATTACGAAAAATACTAACATAGATCATTGAAATATTTGCTTCTAAATTGTGCACATTTACCACTACAATAAAATTGGCAGTAATTACCTCAAAATAAATGCCTTATGTCATGACATATGATTTGAAAACAACATCCCACTCTATGGTTGAGTAATTGAATATTATTCATAAACTGGTGATAGACTAATTGAGAAATTGAAAGGAGTTCAAATCTATATGTGTCGTGAAAGATTGCGAACAAATTTTTGGCATTGCAGTCATGTCCTTATCAGTACCTCCAATTATAAATTGGTGCCCAAATAAGCATTGCTTCGAGTTCCCAAACTTTCACTAGTGTGGATAGATCGCCCATGAACAGTACAACGATGAGCCAAGGTACTAGCCCTTTTAGCTACCCGTACTATAACCCAAGCTAAATCCACGTACTTATTTAGTCCCCACTAGATACTAGGCTTATCATTCCCATAAAATAATATTTAGTCTGTACCGGTGGTTATTCTAACTCACTAGCTATGACAGAGAGTGTGTCCTTAACTGCTCCATGAGCTATGCTACTCGAGAACTCACACTTGTAGGAGCCTTACCCCTCATTGGGCCATATCTCACAAGCAAGTTTATCTACTTAAGTCAAGTTCAAGGTTGGCCAAAATAAATTTATAGAACCTATCAAGTTTTCCTTTTCCTTCAGGTTTTAATTGATTAAGAAACCTAGTGTACATTCCTATAACGCGCAAACATGAGTTCCCATTCACATTCGACTGCTATTGAGTCTAGGCCAACTAAGTGGGATATATGTCCGATTACCAAGTAGTTATTAACTAAGTCGATTAGCCTAGGTGAGGTTGAGCTACCATTGGTGAATCAAAACTAGTTTAATCAACATCCTTATCATGAGTGCACTACCTATTTAACATATGAAACATATAAGTTTCCAAAATATATAGGGCTTCATAAATAGAGGTGCATCCATGTTGTGATGGTTAGGTGATATTAAACCATCATTACTAGTTGTATGCGTGCATCACGTTATGTTAACCTGCAGGAGAGACATAACAAAGGTCAAATGAGAAGGACTCGAGCAAATCAATAAACTTGGATAAAGAGATGGTAAGGATTAAGAAGATAGAGAGGATCTAAACAAGATCTTATGGAGGTTTCTTTGGTTGCTACTATGTCAGGATGGGTCGGGGTCAAGTTGCCTAAGCCTCAAGATTAAGGCATAACTAAGTGTGACTTTCCTGCGATTCATCAGAAGTTTTGGGCATTGCAGTCATGTCCTTATCAGTCCCACATGAATGGAAGAACAATTCATTGAGTGTGGCTAAGGTGAAAAGTTTCTGCAGGGATTCTGGTGGTGTTGATGGATAGTCTGTTGTGGACTACTAGATAGCCCATGGAGTTGTGATATAGTTCCTCATGGGTTGACAGAGGATCCGTCGTCAAGTGTGTCTAACATGTGATGCATATGGAAAGCTTCTACGTAGACAACAGAAAGTCCATCGAGGTTGGATGGACAGTCCATGGAATCCTGGTTTGTCGTGCCTTAGTGTAAAGGACTGAACGTGTCATGAAATGATCTATGCATTCAAAGACAACCCATTAAAATCGGATGGAAAGCCTATCAAATAGTCGAGTGAACCTATGTTCATTGGTGTTCTTGATGTCCATAGTCTAGGACTTTGTGAAGGATGTTCCTAGGGTCTATTAGGGACTTCGTAGGTGTGCTTGTGCAAAGTCCTAGGGTTTTGTAGCCTATGGTATGGTCAACATTCATGCCACTAGTGTGGGGTACTCTATTCTAGATTTTGAGATTGCGAGCAAGATCGAGGGGGAGATGATGTTGAACTTACTTATGGGGGTCTCAAACTTGCATCCACAAAGCTCAAGCTTCACTACTTGTTATCCTTCTTGCACCATGGGAGAGGCTTGATTCAATATTGGAGAGGAAGAGGAAATTTGACATGCATATGAGCACATGAATTAGGGAGATTGAGATGAATAGAAGGGTTTGATTGACGAGGATCACGAGCTTACACTTGAGATGGAGGTGGTAGTCTTGATCTTCACCTTCTCCTTCATCCAACATGAACACAAGCATTAGGATTTGGGATGAACTCATGAGAGTGAGTTTTAGAGAATCCTTTGAGCTTACACTTGTGATTAGCCTATGAGCCACCACCTTCTCATTCTTCACTTTGGTGAGGATATATATGTAGTTGCTGCTATTGATGTCCTTCTAGCTTCTACCTTGTATCATCCCTTATTAGCTTGCCCACACATTATTGCAATGGACTTGTGTCCTTCTTTGTGACACTTGAATCATGTCATGATTGCACCCTACTCAAGCTCTTTAATCATGTTGTCATGGTTATATCTTGAGGAGGTTGAACAATGTTTGTTTTGTACTTGCCTTTCAAAGTAGCTAGATAACTCTTTCCCGAGCCTTTCCACCTCTTTCACGAGTTCATTGTTCTCCACCTCAATGAAGTCATCATATCACATGTCTATTGTCTTAGAAAATAAGCACAGAGTAGCTATGAAAAGGGTAAACTATGGATACAGATGAGAAAGCAATATAGACAATTAATTGAGCACAACCAGATACAAATTACATAGCATATATATGTCTATTGTCTTAGAAAATAAATAAAGAGAAAAAACATATAAATTAATATATGCATTTTTATTAGTCATAGGTATTAGACATTAAGATCTAGCTAATTGTTATGCCTCTTGATGATATTCATATTCTAGCCCATTAATAAGCACGTGTCAATGAACCAGTGAAACAAGTGACCGGTGATAGAGAAGATCCAACAGAGGAGACGATCCTAGTTTTGAAGAGCATGACAAAAACTGAATATTGAGATCAAATTTAGTAGAAGTAATGAAAATAGCAATTGGTAATCAATCATTAGCAATTGGGTTATTAGTTGGCAATCAGTCAGCGTTACATACGTTGGTGTTTACACCAAAATTTAGAAGGAGAGTCGCAGGGACTCGAAAGCTCCCAAGATCATGTCATCAAGGAATCAATTGCGCGTAGATAGGAATCAGCTGATTTGAATGCAACACCAGAATCGGCTTTCTTCATATAGCGATGACAGATGACGACAAAGGCTACGATCGACGCTAGGACAAGGCATGTTGGACTCTACAAGAAGGGAAAGATTAGAGTCTAAGTTATCTTAAATT